AGAGAGGTAAAGAGCAAGAAGTGCTGTTTGGGGTACATAGTATCATATCCTAGAAAGGATAACACAGAAGGCAGGCTAGTAGTGAAATAGCCAGGACTTGGATTGAGCACTAGAGTTGGCCTTAAATAGGCCTTAAATTGGACAAAATCACTCATGCATAAAGTGCTCTTTGACCTCCGACTTCCTGTTTGTGTAATTCTGTAAGTACATAATACATCAAATTTCACATTTTTAGTGTCAACACAAAGGGCTTTCAATTTAGGGGGTGCCAATAGTGAAAGGATTAGGTTTCACTGCATCACCATCAAAACTCTTCATATCTTCATCCAGGAACTGTATATACATATACAGGAGGGCCCTACTTATACAGCAGATTAGGTTCCAGGCTATCACTGTAAAGTGAAAATCACTGTAAGTGAAGCATAGCCTCTTTTCACTTTCAGATGCATATTAACCCTTTCACTGTCGGTCCCTTAATATTATGGCTTGCAAGCCAGTATCGGTAGGCCTACATGTGAGAGAATGGGTCTGTGTGTTCAGTGTGCGCAGTATAAAAAAAATCGTGGAGGTCACAGCACATTGTGGGAGTGCCAATTCAGTACACTGTGTTCACCATGCCTAACGGTAAGGAATACCTCACTCCCCAGCAAATTGGGACTCTAGGCTTCCCAAGTGATAGTTCTAACACAGATGGAACTGTCGGTGAAGATGAATTTCATGGTTTTGAGAAGTTTGTGACCGAAAGCAATGCCCAGGATGCCAGAAATAGTGCTGAAAACCCAGGTGACCATGAACCTTCCACCTCTTGTGTTGAGCCGTCTTGTTCATGTTCAGTTCTACCACAACGAAAGAGGAAACTCATATTTTCCCATGTCTCAAAGAATAAGTAAATTTATTCAGGTATGCACAAATAGTTACATAGATTATCATACATAGTAGCATATGTGTAGAGAACCTAGGAAGAGAGCATGGTTGGTGGGGAAGATGGTATGGTAATGTTACAGTTGGGATGGCTAATATATGTACATGCTGCAGCAGGTGGTGGTATAATGCGTCACATAGCACCAGTAGCACCCCAGGCTGGTAGCCATGCTGCTGACTCAGTACATCCACAACAAAGGCCACCTTCAACCACCCACACACCACAACAACCTGCACAACCACAACCACAACAATGCACCCACAAAAATGCAGAGACACTCATTTTATGTGTGATGAGTGTAAAACAGCACTGTGCATAATACCATGTTTCAAAGAGTCCCACAAGCTGCAGCACTTCTAGGAATGTGTCCAGTGACTATATGTGTGTACAGTGGTACCCAGATTTTCGAACAGCTCCCAACTCAAACAATTATGTAAGTGCATTTTTGTAAGTGTATTTTTGGGGGTCTGAAATGCACTAATCTAATTTACATTATTCCTTATGGGAACAAATTCATTTGGTAACAGCACTCGAACAGCCTTCTGGAACGAATTTAGGCTGATATTCGGGGTTCCACTGTATATATATATTACAGGTCTCCCTCCACATTCGCGAGGGTTAGGGGGATCAAAAACCTCGCTAATGTTGAAAAATCACGAATGTTTGGTGCACAAATATATTGTAAGGAAATATAATACACCTACCATACAACCACTTGACTTACGACCATATTTTTTATGCCAAATTTCTGAGAAATAAACAACTGTTTGTATTGTACACAGTGTTTATCCTAAACCTTATGGTATAAAATACAGTACTAACAGTATAAAAAGTTAAGTAAAAAATGAAATACCAAAAGAAAACAATAAAATAAAATCATTACAAAAGTGTGATGTTGATATTCGGTAGTAAGGTTTGACTTACGTCTATTTTGACTTACGACCAATTGGTCGGAACCAAGCTTGGTCATAAGTTGGATGGTACCTGTAATAGCATTTACTTAGCCAAACAATACTGCTTCCTTAACCTACTGAACCATGAACAATCATAAAACACGTGAAAACATCGTAAAATATTGCACTAGTGCCAGCCCTTTGGTAAAGAAGGTGAGAAAGACTAGAATTCAAGAAAGAGCTCATAGCAGAGTACGAAAGTGGAGGAGAAAGAGAGAGGGGAGAATGTGCCTTCTTCAGTGGTTCAGTGATTCTGTGATATATACAATACTAAAGCAGCACAAGTCGATAAAGGCTATAGCGCCAGCCAGTGATAAAGTGTAGCATTAACAGTGTAGCAAGTAAGTTAAGCGATTAATCGATAGAAAAAGAACAGCACAAACCTAACTCCTTCAATATTGTTGGAGTTATATAGGCTGACGGACAACATCGCTGCCTCTACCGCCTCTGCTGCTGCTTCAGTGGCCCTTATACACCCAACAACAACAACACTTGTGACATACTTAATAACATATTTTATTCATTCATGTCATGTTTCTTTGTTATTAATATTGTTTATTATGTCATATTAGATGAACTGTGATAGATAAATAAGCCGTAGAGTTGATATTAGTGTCATATTGAACGACTATCTTGTCCTATCTCCAAACAAACTCTGCCACCACCACAATTCATATGCATTGACATATGTATTGACATATTTTAAATGTGATTGGGTGGCTGGGCATTCACGAATGTTCGAAGCCCGCGAAAGTGGAACTCGTCAATGTGGAGGGAGATCTGTATGGAACAATAATAATAAACAACTTTTTTAATTGTTGGTCTGTGTAAACAAGTTTTGTAAACAATATAATGATGATAATATTTGTGCAGTTATTGTTTTGCATACAATGAGTGGATATATATACAATATGCATTATATTGGTCTCAAAGGCCACAAAAGTTACTTGAAAAAATAAAATATTAGAAAAGAAAAAATAGAGTAAAAGTAAAAATAATATTGCTGAGTGAGCGACAGTCGCTGATGTTGGCGGCGGCGGTTCACTTTCTGTCAACTTCTCGCCTCTTTATCTTGGTAACTACTGATCGCAATTTTTTTTTTCGTTTATAACACTCGGAAAATTATTCTTAAGATTTTCGTAAGAAATTTGTTTTTTTTCATCTCTGAGAGTAAGTTTGTGAATATGGCTCTCGACAGTGAAAGGGTTAAAGCCTGTTAACATGTTTACACCTATCATATATTAAATGAGAAATAGAGCTGGGCCTAAAAAATGCATGTAGTACAGTACACACATCACTGACATCAAAATATTTTCGTCCTTAGCTTAGAGTGGTGAATATATATATTGAAGAAAGTCTGAATGAATGAAGAATGGGTATATAATTGAAAACCACGGTATTAGCAAAATAATGTAAGTTGAAGTGCTGTAAAGTGGGGCCCTTCTGTACTGTAGTAAGATGGCTTCATGATGTTCTTGTGCATTTGTGAGTACAGTGGACCCTCTGTTTTCGTTGATCTCTGTTATCGCTGATTTCAGTTTTGGCCAACTTTTTTCGTAGATTTTTTGGTTTCGTTTTCGTCGATTACCTCTGTTTTCGTTGATTGTACAGAACCTGTCCAGTGCCCAGCACGCAGACACAGCCCCCTCCCAAACGCATTCTCAGCCAGTGTAGCGTTGTTTTTCAGTGAGTGAACATATCTTGCCAGGTCATACAAAACATTTCATAATAATCCATTGTTTTTGCCACTTGTTTATTGTGTGTGACTGCGAAATAACCCACCATGGGCCCAAAGAAAGGTTCTAGTGCCAGCCCTATGGTAAACAATGTGAGAAACACGATATAATTCAAGAAAAAGTTTGTAGAAAAATATGAAAGTGGAGTTGGTAGAATGTGGTAGTGGTTGTGATGCTGGTAGAGAGTGCCTTCTCCAGTGATTCAGCGATTCTAATTCCTCCAGTGTTGTTGGAGTTATATAGGGCTACAGAAGACACCGCCACCTCAGCTGCAGCTTTCAACATTATGTACGGCTTACGCTCATAGTGGCCCTTATACACCCAACAGCAACAACACAACACCTGTTGTTACAAACATAATGACTTATTTTATTCATTCTAGAGTATATGTCATGATTCTATGTTGTTAACCCTTTGACTGTCACAAGCCCTTTCTGAAACTGTCATTCTATGTTGCAAAATTTTTGGAAAAGAAAAAATTATTTTTTCTTATGAAATGATACCAAAAGTACGGAATTTGGTTGAAAACTCGTGGAATTACGCTCCCGCGAAGTTAGCGGTCTCGGCGGCATATACGTATCGGCGATTTTGCCGACTTTGAGCCCTGTTTTTGGCCAATTCCGTTGTTCCAGTTGACCAAAGTCATAGCTATTTCTTTAGAACTCCATTTTTTTCTCTCAGTTGAGTACAAGAAACTGCCCATTTACCGATTTGAACTACCCAATAAAGTGGTCAGAAATTGGCAATTTGGCCAATTTCACGCAAATTAAAAAAAAAATGCCAATTTCAAAATAGGGTCCAGAATAAACAATGTAGACATTCTTGGCACTAAAATAACATATCCTCTGTTCTTTAGTCACGTCTCTAGGCCCCTCTTATATTACTATTGCTTTCTATTTTGATTTTTTATTCATACAAAAAATACAAAATTTACTGTTATGCAGACTACTGCATTACTGTAAAAATGGTATAAATAATATCAACGGTATAAATAATAATGTAAAAATGGCATAAATAATTCAAGGTCATCGTGAAACTAATTAAAATCATCTCTAGTTCTGTAATATGTTTTCCATTCTATCAAATGAGACCAAGAAAACAGGAATACAACCTTAAGTACTATAGGAAAATGCACCTCAAAGTCGGTGTTTTAATCCAAAAACACGGTCGGAGTTTTTTTCTCATTATGCACTGCGTGCTGCAGGATTTTTTTTATACGGTGCACACTGACCACAGAGACCCATTCTCTCACATGTAGGCCTACCAGCTTTCCTTGATTTGAAGCCGCTAGAATTATTGATTATATATATGTCCAAAACACTGGCTCGTAAGACATATATATACGGCCGAAACAGCCAAAGGATTAACTTGATTATTTTTTTGTTGCAGGTTATGCCTGGCACTTCTGCAGGAGGAGGAGGAGGAGGAGGAGGAGGAGGAGGAGGACCTTCTGCTATAAGTGTTGTTGTCACAACTGTTAAAACTCCTACCTCCATAACTGCTTCGGAATCCACCGCCAGTTGTGATACTGCTAGACGGCGGGTCTCTCCGATCAAACTAGTGGGTGTAGGGGGTCTAGAACGTCAGAATTATTGCTGTGGTCATTGGTTTCCTTCATCAAAGAGCTACCACCGTCATCTAGCTGAAAAAGCCCTCGTAGATCTTACTCACGAAATGAGACTAATAGAGTTGGGGATGTTGAGGTGTTCACATTGCTCAATTTGGGTACATGTAGACAGCATGAATGGTCACTTAAGAAAGAGTCATGGCATTATTAAAGTCAATAAAACTTCCTCCAAATTTATAAATAGTGGAGTAAATGAAATTTCTGGAATAAATAGGGACACACTAAAATCAGGAACCAATTTTGTGATAAAAGTTAGTGGAAAGTCTGCTGTCAAGTCTTCAAATGGAGACATTTCCTGTTCTAATGCAAGCAGTATTGCAAATTCCAGTACAGTGAGGTTGGTTACAACATCTAGTGGTAGCCTGTACCACAAAGTACACCAACTTCAACACTCTGGTGCCAGTGGTATGAGTAATGTTATAGTGCAGAAATCTCTTCAAAGCCAATTACCAATGATCACCAGGGGACCACGAATTGTTATGAAACCATTGGAAAGAAGAAATGTTATACCTGTAAGCAGTTCAAGCAAGGTGCTTACTCTTCCTGAGTGTTCCCAAACAATACCACCACCAACACCACCACCAGCAACAACAACAACAACAACAACACAGCAGCAAGAAATGTAAATGGCATAACTACTGTGCAGATTAGTGGAGGAAGTATAGTACCTTCTAGTAGCACAAGCAACAATAAACTGCAAACCAGTATTGTTAAACCACAAGAAAACATATTAAATGTCAATGGACAGAGCTTCAAGCTAATAAAAAAGATAGCTACTGTTAAGTCAAAAATTAAAACATCTGATTCTCAGCCTGCAGTTACCAGACCAACCAATGAGTTACCAGTAAGTACGAAAGCCAGAGATAAGGGAAGACTTCATCAATTGGAGAAACGCTAGCACTAAAATCTTCACAGGTCCGAAAAAGTCGCAAACAGGTAGCTGAAGCCCAGTGTATCTGATGTGACCTATACTTCAGAAGCTTCATCTCTGTCTATTAATGGGAAGATGAAGAAACGAGGAAAAAAGAATTCAGATGAACCAGAATTATTAAATGCTGAAAAATCTCGTAGTGAAAGTTCTATAAATCACAGAGGATGCCGAAGAAGAGTAAAAGAAACCGTCGATTCAGAAAATTATACTCCTAAGATAACCAGACAGACCTCAAAAGGTCTTAAAGGAGGGTGGAAGAAAAGAAAGAGGGGACCAGGTCGACCTCGAAAAGTACATCTAGATGAAACCCCTGACCTTTCTGAGTTAGAGTCTCTTTTTGATGATGGTAATAAGGAAGACTTAGAAAATGAACCTATTTTAATGACCAAGGAGGAAGATAATGTCCCTACTGTTGAGCTTGATCTTTTTACTCTTCCCTCTCTCAATGAACAGGTGTCTGTATTACTAACTGAACCACAGAACCCCAATTTTAAGGTATATGCGAGTATGGATGCCATCTTTGTTGGGGATTCTGCGCTAGGAGATGTTACAAACCAAATAGGTTATGTAACGGATGCTAACAATGTTGTTTACGTTAATCCAGGTCACTTTCTCTTTCCCAATGTTGAAGACCTGGAAAACTTTATACCAAGCCCAATATTGACAATGAAAGGTAACAAGGTTGGTTTTACCCCTGTAAGACAGATATGGAAACTTAATTCAAGCAAAGTTAGTACTCCAGTTGTTTTAAGAGACAATAAATTCTTAAGTTCAAGCACCTCTAAAGAATCTTCTAGTTGTGATGTTAACAATGAGAAGGTGAATATAGAAGGCAAAGAATCTCAAGTTCCTGTTGCTAATGTTTCTGTGAAACAAATGGGGAATGAGAAGTTGCTGAAGAACAATGCTGAGGTTAGTCACACAGAAAATATATTACATGTAAAGCCAACCAGAGAAGCAAGTCAAGATGTTGGAAATACAAAGTCTAACAACCTGAAGGATACAAGTGTGGATGAAACTCTGTTCCCTGGTGGTGAAGAGAGTGCAGCAAAGACTACGAAATCTGCAAACAGTCGTAAGCGAAGCAGCTCAAGAAGACAGAGTAACAATCAGAGTGATGATAAAGAGGAGGATAAAGATATATTGAATGCCAATGAAAGAATTCTTGTAAAATCATCTATGGATGGTATTAGTGTATCAGAGCCTGAAAATATTGAAAGCATTTCTACAGGTAGCAACATGAGAATGCAAAGTATCAAGCAATTAAATGATGAGGAAGACAATACACTGAATGCTGATGAAATAATTTCTACAAAATCATCAAAAGATGACACCAGGGAAGAAAGTGCAATAGAGGCTGCAGTATCTGCAAGCACTTATGAAGGAAGTAACATAACAAAGCAGAATAACAATCAGATGAGTGATGAGAAAGAAGATATATTGAATGCCAAGGAAAGAATTCCTGTAATATCATCGAAAGATGATGTTTCTTTAACGTGTAGAAGTTTGGATGGATCAGATAAAGATACTGTAGACATTCATCAGACAGAAATGCAGAGTAATTTGATTGTTAATCAAGAAGTACAATTAGAGGATCAGAAGTCTCCAGTAGAGTTACGGGAGACATCAGTCCTTGAATCAGACACAAGAATTTTGAAGTCACCCACAATATCAGACATAGAGCAGCTAACTACCAAGAAGGAAGAGGTGGACGTTCCAGATTTGGCAACTTCAAGTAAGTTAATTTTGGGATCCAGTTTAGAATCAGAGCAGAGTACATGCTCACTTGCCCCCGATCCAGGAACTGCATTAATTGATGCTCAAGAAGAAATGGCTGAGGATTCAGGATCACCTTCAAAATCAGATACTAAACCATTGAATTCACCGAGAAACAGTGTAAGCAGAGATGTTAGTGTAAGTGAAATGATAGATAATACAGCAGAAATAGCATTAGCCCAGCCACTTCAGCCTGAGACCAAAAAAGTCAGCTGTGTAAAGTATGGAAACTTATCTAGGAGGAGGAGGAGACGATCAAGAACAAAATCTGCAGACATTGTAAGTCGGTTCACATATGCTAATCAGAATGATGTTGAAACTGGTGGTAATGAAGGTCATGTTATATATCAGCCAAGAAGAAAAACTAGACAGCTAAGTGAGAGTTCAGCTGTTTTGAAAGAAACCAGGCCTAAAGAAGGGGAGAAAGTTAAAATTTCTGATTTAACATTCAGGTTAACAGTGGAGGATTTACCTCGAAGACTGAACCCTTGGAGTGAAAATGTAGGCAAAGTAGAAAGTGACAGTTGTGTTGAGCAGATGCCTTATCCATTAACACCCAGTAATGTAAAAACATTACCTTCCAGCACAGAGTTCAAAAAAATTCAAAGCAGTTCACTTGAAAAGGTGAGTAAGTGTTCACTAAAAAGAATAGATAACAGAGAAGCTCCTGTTAGTAATCATAATGAATCTGATAACAAGACTCCAGTGAGAATAAGCAGACAGAGAAGAAGAAGCAGTAAACTACTTGAATCTTTAGGCATTGAGCCACTGAAAACTGAACACAACACTGCAATAATAGAAGGAATACCAGCCGTTGATGATGTTAACAACACAAGTGTTAAAGAAAGATTATCTGATGTAAGCAATGTTGAGGAAACAAGAACGGTGAGAGAGAGGAGACCAAGTTCCAAATTATTAGATTCTGTGGCAGTGACTAGCAGAAGTGCAAAGAGAAATTGCTCCCCTAACTCTACTGAAAAAATGCCATGTGCAGGCCTTGTTGATCAGCCATCACTCTCTAGAGAAAAACCTGTTGTAATGATACTGAAAATGATTGCATATCTCAGACTGACACATTATTATATGCAGCCGAAAAGAAAAGATCTTTATGTACAGAGAACAAGACAGCCAAAATTTCCATCACTGAACAGGTGTCACCAGTGCCTCCTGTAAGAGAAAGCGACTTGTCTCCCTCTCGTGAATGGCATGGACGGGGAGCCAAGTTAAAGGCTCAGGTCCTCATTCAGGATCAACAAGCTGGAGTAACAGATTCACAGATAATCCCACCTAATACTGATACAGCGACTCATTCCAAAGATACACCTGTCGCACGTACTGGTAATGAGCCTCTCAGTCCCAGAATTGTAAGATCTGCAGACAATGAAGCTCAAGATGCTTGTTGCAGTCCACAGTCACAACATACAAATATTGCTAGTTCTCCCACCAGTTTGAAAGTCTCCAAGTCACCAAGTTCTCCCACCAGTTTGAAAGTCTCCAAGTCACCAAGTTCGTCCACCAAGTTTATTCTAAAGTCATCAAGTCACCCAGTTCTCCAACCAATCCTGAAGTCTCCAAGTCACCAAGTTCTCCCACCAGTTCCAAAGTCTCCAAGTCACCAAGTTCTCCCACCAGTTCGAAAGTCTCCAAGTCTCCAAGTTCTCCCACCAGTTCTAAAGTCATCAAGTCACCCAGTTCTCCAACCAATCCTGAAGTCTCCAAGTCACCAAGTTCTCCCATCAGTCCTGAAGTCTCCAAGTCACCAAGTTCTCCAACCAATCCTGAAGTCTCCAAGTCTCCAAGTTCTCCCACCAGTTCTAAAGTCATCAAGTCACCAAGTTCTCCAACCAATCCTGAAGTCTCCAAGTCACCAAGTTCTCCCACCAGTTCCAAAGTCATCAAGTCACCCAGTTCTCCAACCAATCATGAGGTCTCCAAGTCACCAAGTTCTCCCACCAGTCCTGAAATCTCCAAGTCACCGAGTTCTCCCTCCAGTCCTGAAATCTCCAAGTCACCAAGTTCTCCCATCAGTCCTGAAGTCACCAAATCACCAAGTTCTTCAAGTCTCAAAGCCTCCATATCACCAAGTTCTGCTACAAGTCCTAAAGCCTCCAAGTCACCAAGTTCTCTTACAAGTCCCAAAGCCTCCAAGTCACCAAGTTCTCTTACAAGTCATAAAGTCTCCAAGTCACCAAGTTCTCTTACAAATCCCAAAGCCTCCAAGTCACCAAGTTCTCCTACAAGTCCCAAAGCCTCCAAGTCACCAAAATCTTTACAAGACAGAGAATGGCAGGCTAGAGGAGCTAAACTCAAAGCTCAAATAATGATAAGTGATCAGCAAAGCAGTATAGGGGAATACGAAGAAAATATTACCTCAGAGGCTCCTTGCAGTTTTGCATCACCCCCCACCAAAAAAATCAAGTTAGATAAGTCGCCAGGAGCTAATAGAGATATTCGTTCCTTCTTTACTGTTCAGAAATCTCCAGTAAGTAATAGCGATGAAAATAAATGTCCATTAAGCAGTCCCGTTCACTCGAGTACGTCAACAACTGCTGTCAACATCAAAAAGAAAACAAAGAGTTCAAATATTAAAAATGACATAAGATCATTTTTCTCTCATCTTGCAAGTGCAAAGAGAAAGTCATCTTCACCACATAAACCATGCACCAAGGTTTTGAAAACAGAGGAACCCTCTGCATCTAAATCGCATAAAAAGTCTCCACCAAAGAAACAAGATGTTCATGCTGTCCATCTCCTGCGCAAAGAATATGAACTTTTGGAAAGTAGAGTGCAGCAGTTGGCTGTCTCTTCTCTTCCAGTTACTTCATGCAACTTTGAAGGCTTTGACAGATGTTCCCGGCAGTCGGGTCTCCGAGCCAAGTCTCTGATGAGACTAGTGTCTTTGTTGAGCATGAAAAGATGGTATCACTTGGGGAGGTTTCCTTTACCAGTAGATCATCTTTGTGAATGGGATGATGAATGGTTAAGTTACCTGATCTTTGATTCCAAATAATAGATAGCATTCAGAAACCAGTTACAGATAGCTCTGCAGGAGATTCTGGTTCTTGTTTCATTTTCTTTTGTTCCTATATATATATGTAAATAAGTATATTTAGTGGATGCTAAATTTGTAGAGTTTAATTTGGAATGTATCTTTGTAATAAATAAAGTAATTGAATTTCACTTCATGACATTACAGTATCCTGAAGGGGAATATATTGAACATTTGTCTGTTTTCATAGTTTCATACTATGACCAAGGAAAATATTTTCGTGAATCAGGTATTATTCTCTAAACTGTGACTTGAAATCGTACAAGACATAATTTTAGGTATTTTTCTTCATAAGCAGTATCGGAGACTGTGTATATTAGTTATGACACATTATACAAGAGTAGGGACCGGTCTGCCAGACATGCAACAAAGTTCACCAAACCTTCAATTTGCCTTTGTGAAATGGTAAAGCCTGCTTATGGGAAGATGATAGCGGTGGAAAAGTCAAGGTTGGTTTAGTGTTATGCCTTTTCTGCACTACCTATGTCATAAGTGGGACTTTTCATTAAAATAAGACATACAATGGGGTCATTTAATTTTTAATCAAGTTGAAATGCTGTGTGGTGCTTCACAAACCCAAAGATGTTGATTCATTCATATTTCTTTCTCTATTTCTCTCTCCCCTCTCTCTTTCCTCCCTCTCTCTTTTCTTTACCCCTCCCCTCCCTCCTCTCCCTCCACCCATCTTCTCATTCCCTGCTCCCACTCACTTTCCTCCTCTCCCTCTCCTTTCTTTCTCACTTAACTGTGGTACCGTGGTCAGTAAGTTCAGTACACAAGTGGTGATAATTTCCAAGCAGTAAGAATGTCCACATCATTGCTTATCCGGGTAAATGGGTGGCATGAATTTCCAGAGGCATCATGAGGGTGTCTCTCAACCATGTGCAACTCTGCAGTGTTGCTACTGACTCAGATGGGGGGGGGGGGGACACCACTAGCATATCATATTGCAAATTGAAGCTGTAAAGCTGTGTGGGTCATACACTGCTTCAGCCACCAGCTGTGTGAGTAATACAACACTACAACCACTAGCTGTGTAGGTTATACAACACTACACCCACCAGCTGTCTGGGTCATACAACACTACAACCACCAGATGTGTGGATCATACAACACTAAAACCATTGGCTCTGTGGGTCATACAACACTACAACCACCAGATGTATGGGTCATACAACACTACAACCACCAGATGTATGGGGCGTACAACACTACAACCACCAGCTGTTTGGGGTCATACATCACTACAACTGCCAGCTGTGTGGGTCAACACTACAAATACCAGCTGTGTGGGTCATACAACACTACAACCACCAGCTGTGTTGGTCATACAACACTGCAACCACAAGATGTGTGGGTCATACAACACTACAACCACTGGCTGTGTGAGTCATACAACACTACAACCACTGGCTGTGTGGGTCATACAACACTACAACCACCAGATGTGTGGGTCATACAGCACTGCAACCACTGGCTGTGTGAGTCATACAACACTACAACCACTGGCTGTGTGGGTCATACAACACTACAACCACCAGATGTGTGGGTCATACAACACTACAACCACTGGCTGTGTGGGTCATACAATGCTACAACCACTGGCTGTGTGGGTCATACAACACTACAACTACCAGCTGTGTGGGGTCATACAACACTACTGCTGCCAGCTGTGGGGGCCATACAACACTACAACTACCAGCTGTGTGGGTCATACAACAATACAACCACCTTCTGTGTGGGTCATATAACACTACATCCACCAGCTAAGTTATACATTCCTGTAAACAGGTGATCACAAATAGGTAATGTCTCACTTTAATATGCACACTTATTCACTGGTGCACACATGTTCACAAGCAGACATGCATACATACACAGTTGTGTACATACACCAACAAATTTTTAATTACAATTTTCTATACTGTACTCTAATTTATTTTCATTATTAGCATATCCCATTGCCAACTGATATTTACAGATTTTTACCTATTTTCAAATTTAATGGTGTAGTCATGTGGAAGTTTTTTTTGTATTACAATAAATGTAATTAAATGAGCAGTGTATATGAAGCATTACTTAACTATGTTGCAAAAATGCCTTTAAACAATGGAGTATTTTTTTTCAACGAACCAGCCGTATCCCACACAGGCAGGGTGACCTAAAAAGAAAAACAAAACTTTTCCTAATGGAGTATTTATGTAAATAAAAAATGTTAAAAGATTGTTCTTTCATTATTTTCATTGACAGAAATACTGTAGTGTTTGAAGGCATAATTTACCAAAATTCAGACTAAGTTTCCTTTTACTATGGTCAATGCCTCAATACAGATTATCAGAATTGACAAGTATACTCTTGTTACTGAAGCTCAATATACATTAGCCAGTTGCCAGGACTTGTTCTGCGTCATATGTGTAAGTTTGCAAAGAAATTGACACAGAAGAGAAAGTCACACAGCAGTTAAGTGAAGCAATCATTTGCATCACCTCAATGATACTATGTAAGCAAGGAGCATGTATGGGGTGTGTACCTGCTTGTGCTGTGTGATTACCTCTTCCTCTCTTTTATTATGATATTTAATGTATAGAGGAGATGAATCGGCATTTAAATATATTTTGTCTTATATTTCAAAGATCTGATCTGGTTCTGTAATGTTCATAATTTGTTGTGTGTTTTGCTTAATAAGCTAAGTCGGCCAAGCAAGCCGAACTGCCTTCAAAAATGGAAATTTTTGCTATATGCATCCTTAAATACATTCAGTGTGATAAATTTTTGGAGGAAAATCTGTTTTAAAGCAGTTCAGCCTGTTTGATCAACTTAGCATATTAGGCCATGCATACATAAATGCATATTCATGAATGCATACATAAAATACATGCATGAATGCATATATGCATGCATACATATTATATACACACCACATATATACTACATGCATAATACATAATGCATGCATACATTCATTCATATATATACAGATTGTGTGTGTGTATATATATATATATATATATATATATATATATATATATATATTATAGTATAGTTGGTAAAAGCAACGCCCAGGGAGTACTACCGTCCTGCCAAATGAGTGTAAACGAAGCCTGTAATTTTTTAATGATGGTGGATTGCTGTGTCTTTTTTCTGTCTCATGAACATGCAAATTTCAGTAGTCTGCTCTTCTACTTACACTTAGGTCCATCACATACATGTACAATGCACAATATACACACCCCTCTGGGTTTTTCTATTTTTTCTAGTCTTATTCTTGTTTATTTCCTCTTATCTCCATGGGGAAAATGGAACAGAATTTTTTCCTCCTAAAACCATGCGTTTTAAGAGCAACTAAAATGCCGGAGCAAGGGGCAGTAACCTCTTCTCCTGTAATTTTAATGTAAAAGGAGAAACTTTGTTTTTCCTTTGGCCAACCCCCTCGGGGGGATTACGGCCGGTGTTGAAAGAAAGATATATATATATTTTTAATATATAATAAATATATAATATAATATATAATATATATAATATATATATATAATCATATATATATATGTATTATATATAAATATATATATATATATATAATATATATACATACATACATACATACATGGGAACTATTATCTGTGTATTATAAATTACATAGCACTCAGTGGTCGCTCTGTTATCTAAACTCAAGGGGAGTGAGAATCTTGCAGATGATCTAAATTCCAGCTAAGATATTGATTAATTTCACATTTTTTTATTGGCTTACATGATAGAAAGTGTAATTGTAATATTTTTTTTAATTCTAAACATCATTTTTTATTAAAAAATAACAATAACAATAACAAAGTCAGTATTTTCTTGACCATTTTGAACAGAATATATGAGTATACCTCAAATGTGAGTATACCTCATACATAAGTATTAATATACCTTATACATAAATGAGTATACCTCATACATCAATATGCATATACTTCACACAAATATGAGTATACCTCATGCATAAATATGGGTATGCCTCATACATAAACATGAATATACCTCATGCATAATATGAGTATACCTCACACATAAACATGAATATACCTTGTTCATAAATATAGGCATACTTCATAAATATGAGTATACCTCATCCAAACATGAATAACCTCACTAAATATAGTATACCTCATAATTAATATGAAATATTCCCCATACTTAAAACATGATATACTTCAGCATAATACATTAGAGTTACTCATACATATATATGGATATACCTCATAAATGAATGAGTACACCTCATACATAAATATGGGTATACCTCATAAATGAATGAGTACACCTCATACATAAATATGGGTATACCTCATACAGAAATGAGTATATCTCATACATAAATGAGTATACTGCATACATAAATATATAGAAAAAAGCTGAAAAAACATTTCATTTGATTTATAATTTGAGACTGAAAACAAAATTATGAATTCAACCTAAAATGTATTAGAATTTCATGACAGATCTGTACCAATCAACATTATCTCACTATACCTACATAGAGTTAACTTGTACAACAATAAATATAATTGGTAAAGAGTGTGTACATGAAATCCATTGAATCCATGACTTCATCTACCTTGGCTACAGCACTGGTGGCAAAGTTATCATCCGCTGATATGCTCTTCCTCTCCTTAACTCTGTGTTGACTTGTTAGTCTTGCCCTTACACGTGTTTTTGTTATTTACGTTCACCCCCCTCCCCCCATGTACCTATGTTTCTGGCATACCAGAATTGTGGGAGAATGTCAAACTAATTGGAGAGTAAACAAAAAGAATTAGTTTTTTATGGTATGCAAATTCTTTATAATACCCTAACAATTTTCCATTTATTTTAAATAAATTTTACTTTCTTTAGTCGGTATCAAAATTTTAAAAATGTTAGTTTTATGTGATCGTGTATTCAAGCATAACAGGAAAAACTGCATTGGAGTTTGAGTGTTTATTGGCTGTTATCATGGCTTTTTTTTTTTACCGAGGAGTCTATTGATCATTTTGGTATTTAAGCTGGTAGAGGGCATGGCGAGTTATAATTTTTAACTTAAAGAGATGGATAAACGAGCGACCAGCATGTGGTTTATACTGTATGTATGTATGTATGTATGTACACA